ATATCTTCAGTCCGCTGCTTCTTTGATTTCGAGCTCAATGAAAGTAGGGCGAGAGAGTCTTTGTGTTGTGATATGCGCCTTTGGGAAACGCTCCGCGGGGAGGTTTCTGTGCCTCAACAATTCCGGTTGCCTGTAGAGTTAAAAATTCCATTTTGAGTTTCAGATACCAGAAAGAGTAAATTCCATTTTTATCATTACTTACCTCAGCTAGAATGAAATCTTCCCATCGTTGACGGCCAGAGGGTTTTTTGACAATAACGGCACGAATAGATTTGAGGAGCACAAGTGTGGTCGGCCATCCTATTCGTGTGCCCCAGAACCGGCGTTGAACGGCTGACTTCATGTTTTTTCGTTGGAGGAATGTTTGAAGGAATGACTTGGGGGTGTAGTTGAGCTGTGTGATTAAATCACATATTGCCGAAATCTTCTTATCTTCTGTCATGAGTTTTTTCTTGGAAGGTTGCCTCAAGTACGTGATCGCCATTGTTGTTGATTTTGAAAAGAGAAGAAGATTGAATGAAATAGCGCGGAGTCAAAAGAGAGGTGTATGCGGCTGAAGTATGAGAGAGGGAAGCAAGAGTGATCGTACCGATCAAAGGTGGAAGTGAATTTTGAGAAAAAAAAGAGGGAGTAGTAAAAAAAGAGACGCTTTAAACGGTCAGGAATGTATGTATATAGCTTTCACCCGACGGTCAATGCACGGATGGCATTCTGAATTTCTGATTATTTGAGTTGGATATTCTTGGAGGTAAAAAAATGCTAACCATAAGTAGAGTTGGCAATCTGGAGGGGAAGATGCACAAGTTTAATCCATATAAAGTTGGGGAATCTGGTATGATGGAAGTATTTATCAGGTGAAATTCAACATTTGCTACACCAAAAAGGGTGAACTTCCGTCACGCCAGACTGTGTTTTTAATTTATAAATCCCTCTCCCTTCGGGAGAGATCAGTGCCACACCTCGACCAGCGGCTAACAGTGCACCACGCCGCAGCAAGGGACGAGGGACTTAGATAAGTTCGAGGCTAGTCTTAGTCCTAGCTGTGTCCACATGTGTAGCCTTGACTTGAGAATACCTTGGAGGTTTTTGATCCTTTTGTAGTCAAATAGCGTCAAAATCCTTTTTCTCCCTTTTTTCTTTTCTTTTCTTTTGATTTGGTTTGCATTGTTTTTTTTTTTTTTTTGGTCTGTCTGGATGCCCATTTAAAGGGGTTCTTCTCATTTGATGCCGAGATCATCTCGGCCAAGACATTTTCTCTCTTCCTTCGGCATTCCCTGCCGTCGAGATCTCCTTGATCCCAATATTTACATCTCTCTATAGCCCATCTTTGGACCGATCGTCTTCAAATCCACATCGACCAGAGGTTGAGAGACTCTGGGGCTTTGATCAACAATCAGGATAACTTTTTGGCATTCAAAATCGAGATCTTCAGACGATGCATCATGATTTGCACCAGCTGATTTGTAATCAATTTCTCAGCTACAACAAGCACAACACCAAACTGCATTAAGCATCACAAAAAAAAAACAAAAAAAAATCTTCCCTCCTTTTGGTTTCTCGAAGCTGCTATGAGCTGTTTTTAAAGTCAATCCAATTCTTTGACGGTCTACTTTTTAGCCCACCGCGGATTGGTTGATCGGCCGGTCAAACTGGACACCCCATAAACCAGTTTCTTCCCCGCGATTATATCCTCAACCGTCTCGTATTGATTATTCCCACCACCCTATTCGACAGCCATTCATACAACCTCGGTACATAGCCAGCTGGGAGCCCTACCTCCCTTTTAATATCAGAAGAACCGAACGAAAAATGTAGTGGAGCTCATTTGATCTGTGAGGCTTACTTATTCTCCCCCTTTCGATCGGCTCGCTAAGTAATAAGATGTACCCGGATTCGATAATG